TTAATTGAACTTCCAAGTATGGCAAGTATTAAATTCACAGCAGTTACCACCATAAAATTGTACCAATTTGCCATTAATTATGCAAATTAGGTCTTCATTTACATAATCAATATCTACCAATGATCTTGTTGTTCTCAATTACATATGTCTAAAGTGTTTCATAGCCCTAATATGGAATACAGCAGATTTATAGAATTTCCTCATTAATTATGAAAATTAGATCCTGATTTGCATAATTGTATTTTAATCATGTCAAGCATCATTTCAGCTACCTACATACCAAAAATCATGACGATCCATCAAACAGTTGTTCAGTTATCCTCTCTCGAATATTTTTAAAGAAACCATCCTGCAGTTCCAGAACAAGCCACTAGAGGGCCCAAACTCATGTGACTTCTTCCCAAGCACGAGAGCTACCTATCATCCAAATTTCATGACCCTAGCATGTCCAGATCGCGAGATATCAAAACCGGAAGTACCAAGGGAAGCCACTAGGGGGACCAAAATCTAATCATTTCCAGTTTTCGTCACACCCTACCAACACACCAAGTATGAAACCAATCCATCCAGGCGTTCTTGAGTTATCTTGTTGACCTACAGATGGACAGACGGACAGACGGACAGATAAACGCAACTGAAAATATAACCTCCATGACACATTTCATGGAGGTAATAACTTCCAAAGACTGTCACCCCACCAAATGCATTTGTATTGAATACTGCAAGGGAACCATTTTGACATGTGCTGAATTCTTAGCAGTGATTAAAAGTGGTATGCCTACAGAATGGCTAATGTGAAAGAGTAAAGAATTAAAAGAAAGTAAGATGACTTTTAGCAAGATGAAAAATATTTTGAAGTATTGTAGTAACAGGGGCGCAAATGTAAGTCATACAGGATGCTTCAGGTTGAAGCCGCAGCAATACATCTACATTTACTGTAGCACTAAGAATGAGTCGTTGAGTGATGAAGGGATTTCTGTTGTCATTGGAAAAAGAAACTAGGACACGAGTGGTCATAAATGTTGAATCATGATTGTACACATTTTGATGAGACCCACAGTTTAGTGTGAACCAGTAGCAGTTAAGTGCCCATTCCATAGCCTGTCATTACTACTTATGGACTTGCAAATACAATATCATTCACTTTCATTTTATTTAATTTACATGTAATGTAAATTTCGAAATATTTACAGTGGTTTTAATTTTGTGGTTCTTCATGATCCTTCTCCACTGTGAAATCATGATCATGTTTTGTACTGCAGTATGGTATTGATCTCAAACTGAAGACATAGCAGAAATCTCCTTTTCACTCCTACTGTGAAATTAAATCCTCGCTCTAAGGCAGCCACAGTAAAAGCTTCATTCTATGTCCAAAGTGCTGAAACATTGGTGGTTATGCACACAGCCTTCCACTCAGCCGAAGGTGGTTATCCATGCATGTGTGCACACTTCCGTTGGCACTACGTGCATGCAGCCTTTCAGTCTCCACAAGCCTGAGGACTGGGCTGACCTTTGGACACCCTGGCTGCACTGATGGTCTTGTAGAATTTCTGATAGCGGCATTATTAACAGAATATTTCTCATAACTGCTGGAATTTGTACCCCGTGAAGCACAGGGTGTATGTATTTTCTTCAGAATGTGTTTTTGTGGTCATGCTTTTACTGCATTTGTTGGTTTGCAACCCTCCAGACTATTTTTTTTTTTACTTTTTGAGTGTACATGCACAACCTGGAAAAGTTGGGCCTTCAGGCAAAAGTACAAAGTTTAGTACTGATATTTACTATCAACAAAATAAAATTAAACAGGTGATCTGTTATTGTTGCATTATCATATTAATATAAAGACATATTAATGATTTGATATTATCAGATATTTCATATGACACTTGTATATCACAATGCACTCTGTAGTGAAACACTTTGAGGTCAAAAGTGCCTTGAGACATAGCCTTTTTATATTTTCAAATATGATCATTTTGTATCAGAGCAGTACCAAGTTTGTTATGATTTTTAGTATGAACCTTAAATATGTTCTTAAGTATGATTTAAAAGACAATGAAACATAAAAATTAAATAGAGATCTTCTTCATCTATAAAATTTGTCAAGTGATCTGTCAAATGTTTGATTTCTCAGTGGTTGCAGCCTCTAGTGGAAAAGGGGGTGTTAGCATGCACATCTTGTCTTCCTGGCTTAAGAGCTTTGCCATAACCTACATGCAAATGTGGGCCCCAGAGAATGTCATTCCGCTGACCTTGCAGGCATGAGCAAGCTGCTTTCCCTCCAAACGATCACGGAAACCCGACCTGCAGAATTAGCAAGTCTCCTGGGCCGGACCAGGTGGTCGAGGCGTTAGGAGCGAGGAAAATTCATGGGGAGTCGTCGGCGTGCATATGTGCTGCCGAGTGTTGGTAATTAGGTCACATGGGAGGAGAAGACATGCAAACCGGCACAGAAGAGCAACCATTCTCTGAACTAGTAACGTCCAATTTCAACAAGAATATACCCAGGGATCAAAATACTTAATTCTGCATATCTGTACCAGTTAACATTTAGAATTACCTGCACCAGACAAATTTAACCCGCACCACTCAGAGTTAAGAAAGTATGGATCAAAATAAAAACTGTTCAGAAACCATTGCCATTATTTCTTTTTATAGTTCTTAGGTGGTAAAAGTCAATGCAGCAAATAAAAATCCTTAGGTTAGTTTATTATCTGTAAACCCAGTACATGTATATGGTCTGGTGCAGGTTAGGTGTAGGTAGACATCAGAAATACCCGCAGTACTGCAATTTTACCTGCATATTGAGGTGGTATTTAGAGTCTTCATATACCTGATATTCTACTACCTGCCATGACTGACAATGGCATTTTTTTCTCTTTCTAATGGCAAACATTTTTCTTTCCTACAAATGCAGGCAAAGCAAAGGGTAGGGAGTAAATCCTTACAAAACAAGTGCTGACGAGTGCCCATAATTAGGTCACATGGGACAGTGAAACATGCCAAGCAGCACAGATCAGCCATTTTGTGAACTAGTCAAGTCCAATTTCAACTAGAAAGGCAATATTTACAAGCAAATGCACCTGGCATTTTCTTCCCATCAAAGATGTGGCATTCTAACCCTATGAGCTAGCTGTAGCACCAATCAAGGAAGTTGCAAGATTGATATGTGTCACAAAAAATCAGGAATAACTGCATAATCTGTATTATTCTCTCATGGAAAGACCTGATACAAACAGTTTGGGAATTTGATTTGGTTGAACATATTTCCATTGATATTGTACTTTGTTAGCTACAAATGTACATTGCATTCAATGCATTGTATATCTTGAGTAGATTTATTCCTCAAGTGGTGAATATGTCAGTCATGGGCTGAATAAAAGTTCCAGATGCCTTACTGAGGGACGACTGAGGTGTGATACATTGTAGATGTCGGTTAGCTGTAGGAATGAATTTACTCTATTTTATACAAGATGTTGTTACGGAAGGACATCAGTACCTTCCCCATTAGTTTTCTGAAATACAAGCACTAAACACGTTTTGAATTTTTGTTTTACAGGAAAGCGAGGAGCAAAGCAGAATACAGACATGACAAAGGGTGCAGGCATAGGCAGCCGTGCTGGCCGGCGCGGGAAAGGGCGGCAGCGGGGTGGGAAAGGGAGCCAGCAGAACCACGAGGAGGACGGACAGTTGACCAACGAGCAGCCAGTTTTTAACGGTGGTAATGGTAACGATATCACAACTGAAGCCACCAGTCATTCAGAGCCGGAGGAGGTTGTTATGGATAGTGCGTCCAGGGAGGGTGCTTCCAGTCATGATCCGGAGCCTACAGAAGACGCAGGGGTCACTAATGGCTTAGATGAGAATGATTCAACAGAGGCAGACTTGGACAGAAACCTGGCTACTGAGAAAAAGTCTGCTGCAGAGGGCAGGCCAGGGTCCAAGGAAAACCAGTCCCCGAGACACCGAGTAAGAGGAGAGATCGATCCTGAGTTGGAGTCAGATCATTCCGTGTACGAGGACGCCAAAGAGCCAGATCAGGACAATACAGACAACCTGGAGGACAACACCAGCGAGGACGGGGAAGTGGCTGAGTCAGAGGGACCTGGGACAGAACAGGAGGAAGATGGCAGTCAGACCATAGAGCAGGCTGAAGAGGATGTCCACCAAGATGAGGAGGTGGAAGGGGACAGGTCAGAACCTGAGCAAGAGGTGGAAGGCCAAGGGTCGGAAGCTGAAGGTGAAGGGTTAGAAGAAGAGGAAGAGGTTGAAGGTCAAGGTTCGGAGCCAGAAGATGCACAACAAGTTCAGGATACAGATGATCCAAATGCACCAGGAGAGGAAGAAGTGGAGGAGGAGGAGGAAGATGAGGAGATGCCTGAAGAGGAAGCTGTGGTTGAAAATGATGAACCTGAGGATAGCATACAAACTGTAGGTAGTGAAGAAAATGCTGATGAAGTGGAGGAAGACGAAGAAGAGGAGGAGGAGGAGGAAGAAGAGGAGGAAGGTGAAATCGAAGAGGAAGAAGAAGAAGAGGAAGAAGAAGAAGAGGAAGAGGTTGAAGAGAATGGAGAGGAGGAAGATTACGATAATGGAGCTGACAAAAAAGAAGAGGAAGAAGTGCCTCCGGAGGAAAATGAAGATGAAGGAAGCACAGAAACAACTGTGGCTCAAAAGCAGCCAGAGGCTGAATCTGACCCTGCAGTCCCCCACGAGGACAGTGAGAATGTGACAGTCCAACAGGATGCCACGGGTGATGTTCTCACTGCTGCCTGCAGCAAACTGGTCAGTGAAGCTGGGACAGGCAATCCTGTAGATGCAGACTCGAGATACAGGGGTGACCGAGCCTTCATCAACATCGAGCTTCTCAAGTCAGAGAGCAGGAGAAAGCACCCTGGCAGGAGAGGCCACAGAGATGAGTACGAAGAAGACGCAGCCGAGGAAGACCAGCTCCCCCAGGAGGAGTGTAAAGACTTGCAGGATGATGAAGAGGAGCTGGACCGGGAGGTGGAGAGTTACACACAGGAGGACCTGCACGACCACATGGGGCGGAGACTGCCGGGCTCGCTGGAGGACAGGTCACCCGTCAAGACCCAGGTGCAGCGGGAAGCCATCAGCCTCGCCCTGAAGGACATTCAGAATGCCATCGCTCAGAGCAAGAAGGTAAAGATTTTTCTTAGATATCATATAGGATGTTTTACTACAGCTAGTAGACTTTATGGATGACATCCTCTGCAGATCTTAGGTGCTTCAGTAGGGGGAGCTCATGATATATCAGGAGCTGCTGAGATTTTGCTTTAGCATGCGTCTACATTTACAACTCACTTTTGACTGTGATTTCCTTTACATGTTAGTGAAGTACATTGTGTGGATCAGTTGTGTGGCATCCTTCAATTTCAATTTTATTGTAGAATCGAAGTAGCAAAAGTACAAGATACATCTGAATTCTGTTAATTTTTACAAAGATTATAACAACAATACTGTACATATAACTACTGGTGCTCTATCCACCATGTTGGATTACCACACACATACAAACCTGTTAAACATGCCAACATGCAGCTACTTAATCAGTTTACCCGCCAACATCTGGTCACCAGGAGTCATAACAAGTGTCCATAGGTGACAATTATCCGTGAAGTTTTATATTTTGCAGATTGAGAACAATAATAGTGTATGTAAACAGTGTGTGATCACTTAACAACTGCTAACAACGTATCGTAAAAATGGCTAATATGTCTAATAATCTAGCCTGACTAAAAAATTGCGCTCCTGGTGGCCACCTGCCCAGAATTTTGCTGCCCCCCTTGGGGAAACAGTTGCAGACTGACTAGTGTAAACACAGGCTACATAAAATCAACAACACGACAATCTAAATAGATGAACAAAGTCAGGTTTAAATTCATAACAATATCTTTCATTTACTACATATTATTCATTTGACAAGGTATTTGGCTGCGAACATCTTGAAGATTCGGGCTGATACCTTAAGCATGGGGAAAAAACATCTGGTACCACTTATCGACCCCTCCGTACATCTGCCTGAACTTTTTACTCCCCCCCGCTATTAAAAACAACAGGTTTTTCTGGACCATTCTAATTTGCCTCAAAATTGTAGGGGTGCATTTGAAATATTACATTGTCCGCGAAAACAGCAGCAGCAAAAATACACATTCGTGCATCATCACGGGCATGCCCGAAGACGGCGTATAAAATTGCATGCCGATTACACGAAGAGAACCCAGTGTTTTGACTGGGAACACGAAAAAACGGCTGTTCACAACACTCCGTCCGGAGGTCCTTACCTTCACGGAGTACTAATTATTATATGATATATTGTGTTAACTATTATGATGTCAATGAAAACAATCTAATAGTATATATATTATTACAACAGTACTGATCACACTTGTGTCCCAACCATAGGTGACTTACTCGCCAGCATCAATTGACACAGACGTTAGAGTGATTTTCTTTACATTGTGTGGATCAGTTGTGTATCACCATCCCTGATCACACTTGTGTCCTGACTGCAGGTGACGTCGCCCTACTCCCCGGAGCCTCCGTCGGAGCCGGTGTGGGTGATGCGAGAACCCACACCAACTCCTGAGGACGACAAGACGCCCGACACGGACGAGGAGATTGAGAGAGCGTTCCGAGAGGCGCAGATCCAGCGGGAGCGTCAGGCACGGGAGAGGCTGGAGAGGGGCGTGGAGGAGCCGCTGCCCCCCAGGAGACCCAACCGGTCGGATCTCAACGCACCCATGGAGCCAAAGGTGAGAGAAGTCACTTTTATCTTATGTCTAAGACTGTAAATGTAAACACACCTGGAAACAAATTGGAAAGGGTACAGAATCAAGCTGCAAGATTCTGTATGAACAACTATGAAAGAGGTGCCAGTGTCACGGAAATGAAAAGAAACCTACAGTGGGCCTCACTGGAAGACAGAAGAAAAATGTCCAGACTATGCATGATGTACAAAATGACTAATAAACTGGTGGACGTCCCAAATACTAAGTACCTAATACCAGCCCAGAAGAGAACAAGAAATAGCCATACCTTCAAGTACCAACTGAGTTATCAACCAAGGATTGAGGTCTTCAAGAATTCATTCTTTCCTAGAACTATCACAGAGTGGAACTCACTGTCACCAAGTACAGTAGGGGCATTGTCATTAGATAGCTTTAAACAATGTCTAGAGTTAGAAGTTCAAGGGTTAGGTGTAACAAGTTGGCTTAATACACCCATATAGCCATAGGGGACCTAAGTTGCTTTTGTTTTATATCTGTGGTTGCATGCACATGTATGAGCATGCAAATATACATGCATACACACGTAGACTCACACACACACACACACATGCATGTATGCACACTTGTGACACATACTCACTCCAAAGAAGGTGTGTAAATGGCCAACAGCTCCCTCTATCATGTTCCTGATGCAATGCAGGTACCATGCTGCAAGCAGACTGATATTAGGATCCTTTTTTAGATGTCATTATTATGATGTTATGTATTGTTGTTGGTGATTCCAACAATGACTGCAAGTTATGAATAAAGGAGATCAGTGCTAATCAGGTATACCATATATACATGTAGATTGCTTTTCAAGCAGAATAACATTTACACATGGTAAGAAAAAATTCAATACATACAGACCTGTCCCTGGTACTAAACACTATCCACACACATACAAACCTGTCCTTGGTGCTGAATGCCATTCACCCACATAAAGACCTGTCCCTGGTACTGAACACCATCCACCCAGATACAGACCTGTCCTTGGTACTGAACACCATGCACCCAGATACAGACCTGTCCTTGGTACTGAACACCATCCACCCAGATACAGACCTGTCCTTGGTACTGAACACCATCCACCCAGATACAGACCTGTCCTTGGTACTGAACACCATCCACCCAGATACAGACCTGCCCTTGGTACTAAACACCATTCACCCAGATACAGACCCTGCCTTGGTACTGAACACCATCCACCCAGATACAGACCTGTCCTTGGTACTGAACACCATTCACCCAGATACAGACCTGTCCTTGGTACTGAACACCATCCACCCAGATACAGACCTGTCCTTGGTACTGAACACCATGCACCCAGATACAGACCTGTCCTTGGTACTGAACACCATGCACCCAGATACAGACCTGTCCTTGGTACTGAACACCATCCACCAGATACAGACCTGTCCTTGGTACTGAAC